TGAAAAAAAAAAGTGAAAATTTGGGTTTTGAGAGTGTTTTTGAAAAAAAAATCATAAATTAGGGGTCAAAATATAATTTTAAAAATTTGTGCCACGTGGGACGCCCAGTCAGCAGCCACGACGAACTGGAATGTGTCGCGTGGTAAGGCACGCTGACGCGGTGCCACGCGGGAGGCCACACTGGCGATCCGCGTGCCCGCGATCGGATGTTCTAAATTTGTTCCCGTGTGCATGGATAGTCTGGATCCATTCCCTCATCAGACGCGATCGGATGGTCACGATTAAATACAATGAATGATCCATATCCACTTCCTATTTAAATGCGATCGAACCGTCCAGATTAAAAGAGGACGGATATAAATAACTCTCTTCACACACTTTTAGATACGTTTGTCTTGTTCATTTACCTTTACATGAATGTCATAAGCTTTCTGCATAATCAATTAAATATGCATTCATGGGTTATAGTGTTTCACACAAAGGTTATATATATTATAATCGTTTCTCTAATAAAATTCGTATATCTCGTCATTTTTTTTAGCATTAATATTTTTTTTATACACATACTGGGTCATTATTTGAAGTCAGTATTCTTCCTTATTTTGATGATCGCCCAACTTTGCTTCTTCTGGATATTGACCCATCATTTAAGCCAGTTCAATCGACTATTATTGAATCTGATGCAACATCTACAGTTACTTCAAATTCTGAGCCTCCTTCACTAAGTCTCCGGCACTCTACTAAAGTTACTCGCTTGAATGGTATGACTTCTCACATACTTCTCTTCATGCTACTTTGTCTTCTATTCTTATTCTTACTTTCTTCTCCTTTTTCTCTTATATGTAAGTTAAAACAGTCTCTTTATGGCTTGAAACAAGCTCATCGTGCATGGTTTGAAAAGTTTTTATCTACTTTGTTTCGTTTCTCATTTGTATAAAGTCAATACGATTCCTCTTTGTTTCTTTACAAGATTACCACTGATGTTGTTCTTCTATTTGTTTATATCGATGATGTTATTATTATTGGCTACTATTCTATCTTGATTCCACAACTTCAACAACATCTTCAGGAATCATTTTATATGAAGGACCTTGGTCAGCTTACTTATTTTTTGGGACTGGAGATACCTACCGATTTTTTAGAAATATTCTTGAATCAATATAAGTATACTCAAAATTTAATTGCTTTACCAGGTCTCCAAGATTCCTCCTTTGTAGATACTCCTATGGAAGTTAATATGAAGTATTGGAGTACTGAGGGTGACCTCCTTCTTAATCCTACTATGTTTTAATAATTGGTTGGTAGCTTAAAATATCTTACCATCACATGCCCTGATATCTCATTTGTTGTGCAATAGGTTAGTCAATTTATACATACTTCTTGCCATCCTTATTTAGCTGTTCGTATTATTAGATATCTTCGAGACACACCTACTCGTGGCTTGTTTTCTCTGCTGGTTATTCTCTTTGTTTGGAAGCCTTTAGTGATGCTGATTGGGCTAGTTTTCCAGATACCCATTGTTTAGTAACAGACTAGTGTATGTTCTTGGGTTCTTCACTGATATCCTATAAAAGTAAGAAACAAGATCATGTCTCTAAATCTTTGACTAAGTTAGAATATCGTGTCATGTCTGCTGCAGTCTAAAATTGTTTGGCTTCGTGGATTATTGGCTGAACTTAGTTTTTCTCAAAATGGTTCTACATCTCTCCATGCAGATAACATTAACACTATTCACATTGCAACTAATCCAGTCTATCATGAACACATAAAGCACATCGAAGTGGATTGTCATTCAATTTGTGAGACTATAAACAATCAAGTCATCTCTCTTTCGCATATTTCCACTAATTTACAAATTGCTGACATATTTAATAAAGCCTTGACTCATCAAAGACATTCCTTTTTTTATAGGAAAATTGATGCTTCTTGATCGGCCAACATCAATTTGAGGGGAGATGTCATAAGAATAGATTTATATTTAATTGTAATATTATATTTTCTTATTTGTCAATATTATTCTTGTAAATAATTAACTTAATTATAGGCATAGGTTTTACTAAATAACATATTTATTAAATTAAGCATAATCATCTTAATTAAAGGCATGTATTTAGAAAATCATTTTCTATTAAGAGAGAAAATACTCCCAAATGGTTAAGATGTAATTCGGAAAAAGACCAGTAAGAGTGGAAAGAACAAGAGAAGGAGAATGGAGGAAACAAAGTAGAGTTAAAATTGGTTAGGTCTATGGTAGCTAGGAGTTGTATCTAAAAAAAACAGGCAAGTCAAGAGTTTAATAAAACATACTCAACCAAACAGTCTGGTAAAATTCAATTCACTTAATTTTCTGATCTGATTGTATTATTTTAGAACTCGATCAGAGTACAGGTGCTAGTATTTAAGTTCTAAATTGGAACCACTGTTCAGTGTGTCTGGAATGGAGAGTTAAACCATTGGAGTCATGTTTGGTAATCAAAGAGATTAAGTGATTGCATTCATTATTGTTTTATTAACTTCCCCATTCATGGCTTTGATTAATGTCCAAATTGCCTCCTTGGACATAGTATGAACGGCCATGAGTATGGGTTTGGCAATATAAACCTAATTAAAGATATAAATGAACATAAAGAACTTAATAAAGAAGAAGAGCCAGAGTCAATGAGTCAGAGTCATTGTGTCAGTGCATGTTCGGGTACATGCGTAAAGCTTGCATGTGATTGATTGTAGGTGTGTTTAAATCGAGTTTTGGGATGGAAAAATGAGAACATGTATGTTATTGGGGATTGTATGATATCGATTGTAAAGTATGAATTGATTGATGGATTGATTGATTGTTATTGCGTTTATTAATAAAAAAGTTTTTATAAAATATCATGGTGCATTTTATAAACGATTTTCACTAAGTGCACTAAAAAGAAATTTTAAAACATTTTATGTAGCCTGTTAGTACTATATTTCTTATTGAGTTGCCTAAAATTCACCATAATCCATATAGTCTTTCAGGTTAGAGAAACCCTAATAAGGTAAGCAACCAGTGATGGTGTGAGAAGAGTCTCCTAACTTCGAATTTAAATTTACTAGGTAGAAATTATTGTAAATTAGATTTAATTTATGTGAATCAACTGTCTCATATAATAGAATTCATATTTGAAATTTCAATCTCAAGGATGTTTATTTTTATTTAATCTATTGCATTTGAATAAAATTTTTTGGTTGCATATTGTGATTCGATTGGTTGACGACTGTTCTCGAGAATCTGGGAACGAGACATCATATAAGATCTATACATATATCATTAGTCTAGATTTTATTTTATTTTTTATCACTTTTTTGTATTTAAAATTTTTCACCAACTCAAACCTGACCGATCCAAACCCACACTTTAGCATAGAAAATTCTAGTGCATTAGATTCAAGGAGAGGGAGAGAATGGACAGATTAAGCGGTTCTGATACAAAATGTCATTACTAAACTCAAGACTAATTATTTATTCATCATTTTTGTCTTCAACTCGAGAACACTTTTCAGCTTTACTTTATTATTTTAACTCCGATTGTGGTTTTATTATTAAACACTAACTCAAGATAACATTATCATAAATTATTTGTTATTCTAGAAAAGCTATTGCATGTATTCATACACGCTTAGTTTCATTAATAATAATACTAATATAATAATTATATAGCCTATATATACAAAATGGTAAAAGGATTCAACAAGTCAACTAAATAAAAATTATTATTTAAGACTCCATATTTGTTCATCAATTAATTTTCAGTATTAATTGCGCTAGACAAAGTTTAAATATGATGCTTTTTATGTTAAATATCAAACTCTGAGATTAATTAACTTAGGAAAATAAAAAAAAAAAAAGAAAAAGAAATAACATTAGTTATCTACAATTTTGCACACCCACTTAATGTGCCGGAAAATCTAAAACCACTACTACTGCTCTATAAATGAATTATTCACGAGGTTGACAGCACCATCCCACGAACTTCCTCAGTGACTTCTTTTTCCTTCAAGCTGGTTCCAAGAATTTAGAGTCAGCTTCAACCTAAATAACTGAAACCACTTGTACACTTAAAATCGAGTTTTCGATTATCATTTCGTGGAGCACTTACTCTTCGATTTTGATTTTCTGCGCAAACAAGTTTGTCTCAAAATCAATCTTTGGCATGTTCACGTATGAATAATTCACTTATATTCATCCAAAACATTCGACTAAGATTAGCGTTCTTGGTGGGCATACACATCTTCCAAACATGTAGGAGATAAAAGATCCAGCTGTGAGTTAGTTGTGTATCAAAGTTTTTGTAATCTTCAAATATATCTATTTTTACCTTTTCTGAATCCCTTCTCCTAATTATCTACTGTAACCCATATGTAATGTTGTCATGATCTATAAGAAGAAAATCACATTTATTATATCCTTACATTTATAGTTGTAATAATCTGTTAGACAAAAAGATCATATGGTTTATCCAAGTGTTTTGACCTTTTAATTAACAATTCCAACTCATTGACCTCTCTTAATGTAATAACAGCTTCTACCCAACAGAAACAAAGAAACCCTTCATCTCACCGCTTCAGAAAAAAAGTCAAGTCAAGAAGTTTCTACGTATTCCATTAGTTTTAATGACAATCTAATTCCTTATAAGTAATTGCCATAAACTAAGAACACTAACTAAACATAATATAATTCATCTGCTCCACAATTTTTGAATGACTGTGTAAAACTATAAAATTATGGTGACCCAAAAAAATACGAGACACATCCTTCACGTTCATTTTCTTATAAATTTCAATCGACCCTCTAATGTTAATTTTATTATTATTATTACTATTGCTGATTTAAAATATTTTTATTATAAAAAGAAACCTAAATAGTAAAACAACTGCATCTGTATTATCAAATTTAAAAAAAAAAAAAAATAGAAGTTTTGAAAAAAATTAGATAAGTAGTACAGATCACACCATTAATCAGATAAACTTATTCAACACCTTCCACTTTTTCTTTGGGCGTTATTTATAGCTCCCTGCCCGTGTGTCAATCCCTCCCTCTGTCCAAGCAAGTTGCGCTAATTCTCTCAAATCACCCCTTTCTCGCTTTCTTTCTCCACTCTCATTGACATATTTATTTTCTTCTTCTTATTTAATCTTTCTCACTCTTTTCTTCTTTCAATTCAACCAAAATCATGGGTGTTGTCGACGTCGTAGCTCCACCCACCAGATTCAGAGATGCTCTCACTTTCTCTTTCCTTGTTCAGGTTGTTCGAGGAAGATGGTTCTCCGTTTTCGCTTCCTTTCTCGTCATGGCTGGAGCTGGTGGCACTTACTTGTTTGGTACGTACTCAAAAGTCATCAAGCAGAATCTTGGTTACGATCAGACAACCTTAAATCTCATAGGTTTCTTTAAGGATCTTGGTGCAAATGTCGGAGTCCCCGCCGGTCTTCTCGGCGAGATTACCCCGCCGTGGTTTGTTCTCCTTGTCGGTTCTGGTATGAATTTTGTGGGTTACTTCATGATCTGGTTAGCCGTCACCGGCAGGATTGCTAAACCTGCAGTTTGGCATATGTGTTTGTATATTTGTATAGGTGCAAATTCTCAGAATTTTGCAAACACAGGAGCTTTGGTTACCTGTGTTAAGAATTTCCCAGAAAGCAGAGGTGTTATGTTGGGTCTGTTGAAGGGTTTTGTTGGATTGAGTGGAGCTATCATGACTCAGATTTATTTGGCTGTTTATGGCCATGATGCTACATCTCTTATTCTTCTCGTTGGTTGGTTACCCGCTGCAATTTCTATAGTTTTTGTTTACACAATTAGAATCATGAAGGTTGTGAGACATCCCAATGAACTCTCCGTCTTCTACAATTTTCTTTATGTCTCAATTGTTCTTGCTTTGTTCTTAATGGCACTCAATCTAGCTCAGAAACAAGTAGTTTTCTCTCATGCAGTCCAGATTATCGTTACCACTGTGGTTTGTATCATGTTGTTTGTACCTCTTTTTGTCGCCATTAGAGAAGAGTTTCATCTCTGGAATCTCAAGAAACAGCCTGTAGATCCTCCTACTGAGGTGGTAACCCACAAACAACCAGAGAATGAAGTGACTCGGGAGGCATCTGAGCTTCCTATTTCGCCAAGAACGGTGGCGGAAGCTGAGAAATCTTGCTTCGTCACCGTCTGTGACAAACCACCCAGAGGAGAAGACTACACAATCTTACAAGCTTTGCTGAGCGCGGACATGTTAATCCTCTTCATCGCCACACTGTGTGGATTAGGAGCAAGTTTATCAGCTGTTGATAATCTGGGTCAGATTGGGGAATCTCTAGGTTACCCAGCTCGAACCGTGAGCTCATTTGTATCACTTGTCAGTATATGGAACTATTTCGGAAGAGTATTTTCTGGGTTCGTCTCAGAATCTCTACTCGTCAAATACAAAGTTCCACGTCCATTGATGATGACCTTCATTCTTCTTTTAGCCAGTGTAGGTCATCTCCTCATCGCGTTCCCTGTCCCTGGCTCACTCTACGCTGCATCAGTGATCATTGGGTTCTCATTTGGTGCTCAATTGCCATTACTATTCGCCATTATTTCAGAGCTCTTTGGGTTGAAATACTTCTCTACATTATTCAACTGTGGGCAATTAGCAAGCCCTCTCGGATCTTACATTCTAAATGTGAAAGTAGCTGGGTTGCTTTACGACAGAGAAGCAGAGAAACAACTTGCAGCCAGAGGATTGACCAGAGCTGCTGTTAAAGAACTGACTTGTCTTGGTAAAAGATGTTACAGACTATCTTTTGTAATCATGGCTGCAGCTACATTCTTCGGAGCTTGTACTTCTCTGGTTCTGGTTATGAGAACTAGAAAATTTTACAGTGGTGATATATACAAGAAATTCAGAGAAAATGCAGAAGCTCCTAAATCGGAACCAGTTAAGAGGCCACAGTAGAAGGGAGTTTTCTAATTTTGGGAGAAGAAGACAAAAGAAAAGAAAAAAAAAAAAAAGGAACAATAAGAAAAACCTAGTTTGATAAAGTAATCAAATGGGATCTCAATGAATAGGAGGCATCTAGATTTGGTCCTATCTTTATAATTGACTGGTGGGTTGCTTTTATTTCTTCTCAATTGACTTAAAATATATGAAGCTGTTTCAGTGGGTTGGTTTTTCTCATACCACTTCCATTTGTATAAAACAAAGTAGTATGATTTAAAGCAACTCTTTTGTTTTGTTTTTTATATATATATAATGGTCAGTGACAATCACGGGCTATTGTTTTCTTAGTAGTGCATTTAATAATTAGAGCTATATGACTGATTTTGCTTCAACTCATAAAAAAAAAAAAATAGAGTGCAAGTTTAAATCAATTTTTGTGTGTTGTTATTAATAGTTTGTATTATATGTTATTATTGATGTGCAAATATTATTTTTAAAAAAAAAATTAACAAAATTCCATAAATTTAATAAAATGAATTATATTTTTATCATAAATGTCTTGATCTTCACCTTGATTTGTCTCTATCGTTGCCTTGAAAAACACTAATATTCAATGTCTTTGCCTTATCATTTTACTCTCTCTCTCTTTTTCTTTGTTTTGGTTAGTTATGAGAAATTCAATGCATACATACTATTCACTTGTCTACATAATGGAGGGATGAAATCTATTATAAACTGTTATTTTAGTTCATTTCATAAATATAATTATAAACCAATCATTTATTAGTTTGGTTCATACATATTTGCTTGTTTTGATTTAGTTTTTTATTTCTTTTGTTTGGTTTTTTTATGAAGATACGTAGAGCGAGGGAGATTGCCGTTGAATAGCAAAAAAGAAACAGGTTATATTTGTTATTGAAAGATGAACGTATTCTTCAGTCAAATATAAATTTTTATTTTTTAATTTTTTTTATTATTTAAATTAAAATTAAATACAAAACTATAGTAATACTAAGATTTCTTTTAATTTATTAATAAAATTATTCACGAACAGATATACTATTTATAAATAATACTAAGATTTTTATATAATAATTTTTAAAATATATTTTCTTTTTTAATATTTTTTCATAAAATATATATATATGTATTATATAGAGGTAAAATGTTATAATTAACTCCTTAATATTATTAATAAAATTTTAAAAAAGTTTTTATACATTTTTAAGATTCAAAGTCATATTTTTAGTTTTAAAAATATTTAAAATCAGTCATTGACTGATAACTTCAAATGCACATCAAAATTTGATATGATTTTTCTTCTACATAAATGTCATGTCTCGTCAATTAAAATAAATCCGAAAAATGTTGCCTTTTTCTTTTTGATTACAAGCTTTTTCTCATTTGTTGCACCATCTATTAATTTTTTTTTTCACTAATAAATCAACGTGTGTTTTTAGTTTGAAACTTAAAAATTATGATTGATAAATTATTATAATTTAACAATAAAATGATGTTAGTTAAATATATATGCTTAAAAATTAGGGACAATCATTTTTTATATGCACAAAATTTAAAGTATGTTTGTAATAATTTAGAAAAAATGAGGACTTTTAGAGAATGTTATTCGTCGTGATTGTTTAAATTTTAAATTTGCACGAAAAGTTTTCTTAATAAACAATGTTCTTCTGCCACTTAAAGTAGTAATCCCATATTATTTCAAGAAGGGAAAAACACCCAATTCACTGTAAATTTGGTTTGTTACTTAAGCAAATAATTTCGATTTTGTGAAATTTGTTTGATGTGTGGTACGGGTTATAATTTTTAGAAATTGCAATTTCTTACTTGTTTTAATTATCAAATATATTTAATTATATTTTGTCATATCAATTTGAAAGTAATTATATAAAATAATAATATAAATTATAAATTATTTATAATGTAATAATTAATTTTTATAAAATGTATTTATTTATTTTATACCATTAGCATTCTTTTTTATTTATTTTTGTTTTTTTAAAGAAAACATTTTTAGCTTACAAACGCCTCCTACTTGTTCGCGCTCAAACTCTCGCCAAGCTTTAGGGAAGTGCTGCTCCAAATTCTAATTTCGTGCCTCTCTGATAAAAAATTCTGCAGCCTATAAAATCACAACAACACAAGTACTTCCTTGAGAAAGCGAGAATGGCGGAGGGAGAGATGTTGAATATGGATGGTCCTCTTGATTTTGAGAAGGAAGACCCCCTACTCAATTCCTCTGTTGTTAATAAGAAAAGGTTTCCCCTCTTTCTCTTTTATCTTGTTCAATTCTCCCAATTTTTCATTTGGATACCTGGGGTTTCTGTCATTCTTCTTCCTTTTGGACGGTTTAGGGTTTTGCGTTGTATTAATTGCATCTTATATTGTCCTCTCGTTATGCTCTTATTTTCCCCTTCTTAATGCCAACTGTTGATAATAATGTTTTGTATATTAAAAGCTTAAATTTCGACTCATTTTGTGGAGTGTTTATTTTTTCTCGTTTTTTAAAGAGTTTGGTCTTATTGAGAACCATCAAACTAAAACGGCCTTATCTGTAACCAGCTTAAGATTTTGATTTGAACTTGTGCATTCGTCAACTGAAAAGATGGTTTTTCTCTTCTGCCAATTACATTGATCTTATTATTTTGTAGTAAATAAGGATTTTACTGAATCACTTGCTTCTACAGATTAGAATGTGGCGTTTGGTTCTTCCTTTCAATGATCCAATTTCGTTTGAATGTCAAACCAGGAAAAAGGTTATTGGGTTGGATGATCTTTTGACCGACTTTTACAAGGAAAAAAGCAAGCTTATTGAAAAGGAAAACAAACGAGCAAAAGCCTGTAAAAACTACAATTCTGACGAAGATGATGATGGCAAAGAAGCTGCACTATCCAATTTACTTCATGGCTGCCAGGATGAGGCATGATAAGCTTTGGTTTTATAATTTGTTCCATTTTTTAACCATCTATTATCTGTTAGATATGGTGAAGTGGAAACTTATTTTCTTATAACCCTCGGTAGATGGAGAAATTAAGTGGCGAGGAAGAGAATGATGAATGGGGTTTAATAGTTTTTGGAAATCAGGTATTTTCAATGGATGAATCTAATCTTTTTTTAAA